TTTTTTTTTTTTCCTAGAATTACATTCTTTGCAAATATTGTCATTTCAGAGCATTCAAGTCATGAATGCAGCTTTTTCCACTGAAGTTCTAGATGATACCATAAAACTCAGTCGGCAGAACCTATGGGAGATCAAATTTAAAAAACAAACCGGGGCCATTGAAAGCTGGAAGGTAACTTGTGATATTAGGTTACCATTAACCAATATTGTTTATGGTAGAACAAATATTATAGGATAGAACATTTTAAGATCAGCATGAAAAAACGTGTCAATAAAATTTTGTTCAAATTTTTATTGATACACCGGAAAATACCAGGTGGACGGAATACCGGTTATGCACAATGGTATGCTACCGTGCTTTTGGAGAGCGCCAATAGATAATGACAAGGGAGGAGAGGGCCAAAGTTACATTTCCAAGTGGAAAGCTGCAAATATAAATAATCTGACTTTCATTACTGAAACCTGCTCTGCCCTAAATGTGACTGATAATCAAGTGAAAATTGCAGTAGTATATCTTTGCATTCCAGAAGGTGCTTCACGATCAGAAAAATCTAATGTCCTCTTTAAGGTTGATATGATTTACTCGATTTATGGTTCGGGTGACGTCATACTGGAATGTAGCGTAAATCCAAGCTCTGATTTGCCCCCTTTGCCTCGTGTTGGGGTTGAATTTCACTTGGAAAAATCAATGGACTTAATCAAGTGGTATGGAAGGGGACCATTTGAATGTTATCCAGATCGAAAAGCTGCTGCCCATGTTGGGGTGTATGAGCAGAATGTGGGTGAGATGCATGAGCCTTACATTGTTCCTGGGGAATGTTCGGGCAGGTCAGATGTGAGGTGGGTGACATTTCAAAACAAGGATGGTCATGGAATTTATGCTTCGATGTATGGAAGTTCTCCACACACGCAAATAAGTGCAAGTTACTACAGCACTGCTGAGCTTGAACGCGCTACTCATGTTGAGGAGCTTGTGAAGGGAGATAACATTGAGGTATCTTTTGCC